GGCGGGGGCGGGGCCTGCCTTAAAGGTATAGGAGCCGCGCCGCCTCCCCGCAGGTTGCTCCCGCCCCTTGGCGCCCGGCGCGCATTTTAGTTTATTGTTCTCATCACAAACATTTCTCCTCTCCCGGGAGTTGCCCGCGCCCGCGCGTCCGCGTCCCCTTACACGCGGAGGGACTCATACGAACACGCCATAACTTTCCACAGCTCCCCCCCCCCCGCAGGCCCCTAGACACCCGCGAAAATCTTTCCTGGCCGCTGCACTTGCCGGAATGCCGCTCGCCCGCCCGCAAAGGCGAAAGAGCTTCGCCAGAAATGCTCTCTCACCGCCGCGGTCAGCCTGAAAACTCTATGGGTCAGAAACCTAAGTGCCTTGATGGTCTTCGCGAAGAAAAAGGGTCTTTCCTAATGGAGTTTCCTCCAGGAATGGATTAGACGCCATTAACTAGACGTATTGTAGTGGCCCTTTCGGAACCCGGGACGGAGGCAGGTGACCTCCCCAGGGAAGAGGCCAGCAACTCGGTGAAGCCAAGCTCCGCTCTAAGCTGGCGCGAAGCGGGAGTCTCCGCGCTCTGGCTAAGCGCAGTTGGAGCCGCACATGTGGACACACAGCCCTTAAACCCAGGGAATCCCAAAGCGACTGGGTAGAATGAAAATTGAAGTTAATCTGTTTTCATAAATAGGCAGAAAGTTTCCTTCATTAATAAAAGTGTGCGATACCCTCAAGCGTTTCCATTAGCCCCCAAAAGGCTGTCTTCCCATCCGCATCAGAAGCTGGATGAACCACGTAGAGGTGGGAATGTGAGGGAGTCGGGTCGCAATTGTGTTTGCTGGTCTTGACCATCCCTTTAACTTTATCGCATTTCTTTAAAAAAAAAAAAAAAAAAACTGCCTTGCCCTCTCTTTACTACAACTCCATCCTTCTTTCAAGATCAAAAGGTTTTTAGATCAAAGCCAAGATCAAACTCCTAACTTTAAATAGAAGCAACTTTGCCATGGAGTATTTTACACAAAGAGGAGCTTCTTAATGGAGACATCAGAGTGGAAAACTTTATGTTACCCCTTCATTCCATATTCGTAACTGGGCTACTTAAAATTACATTAACGGTGCACTTTTCTGTTTCCTGAAATAAACAACAGGTCTGCTCAAATGGGGGATTCTTGACTTCGTGTTTGTGTTTCCAGAAATACAAAGAAATTCAACTCTGGAGAGAGATATAAATATAGTAAGCATTTTGTGTCATTCTTACCTAAGTCTAAGAAATGTATGCTCATTTGCTAAAGATTTTTCAAGGTGTTATCAAATCTTACATATAATGTACGACCACCCATACACAGTTTTTGTATTGTAAAGGAAATGCATAAAAAATAGTCAATGCCTTGCAAATCTTGAGTGCACCTACACAAAGGCAGGAAAAAGAAAATATAAATGGTGAAGTTTATTATGTAATTGCAGAGTTGCTTAATTTTAAATGGAAAGAGAACTTTGAACTATTCAAGCTTCCATGCTACTAAGAACAGTTCCAGAATCAATAGAAATCTATCGCTGGCATACACTTCCTTTCCCCACTAGAATTTTTTTCCCCCTTGGGAAGTCACCATCCCCAGGAACTCTGATATGCACCGTTCAATACTGATGTACAATGCCGTGCCTAAATGGCCCTTCCTTAAGTGTCCCCTTTGTTGATTTGTCAAAGATTCTTAAACTTGTAGTCTTAGAAGAAAATTAAACAAAATGAAGTCCAATGATTCAATAATATGAATAAAGATAACTATCGGAAAAGAAATCTTATAAAGCCTTCTACGAAAATCTCTTGTTACAGCTGGGTAGTTAGTACTTGCAGATTTTCCCCATTATTCCTCATCTGGTTGTAGTCTCAAAGATGTGTATACACACACACACACACAAAGATTGCTCCTAATTCTATCACAATGAAAATCACATTGAGCCACTGGAAAGATCTTAGGAATTGAGACCTGGGAACACCATCTTGGTGTCACTGGCACAGTGTCCCTTCTTTCTAGCACTCGGCTCATGAGAACTAACCATTTCAGACATAACTTGAACAAAGGAAACCTCCAACTGCCACTCTGCCCTAGTACTTTGTTGAGTGGGGAGTAAAAGCTGTGGTCCATTCTAAGTGTCTCCCAGCTGTTCTCTTTCTTTGTACTCTTGCCTCCCCTCCCATCCATCCTCCACAGAGAAGCCAGAATGATATTTCCAAAAGTAATTCATGATATCATTTTGCTTTACCTAGAATGCTTTTCCTTCTCCTCATTGCCTGGATAGCTCCTATAGTTCTGGACTTAAACAATATTTCAGAAAGGTCAAAGATTCTTTAAACCAACCAAATTGTCACCTCACAATTCTTTTTAATCGTATCCTATTTATATCATATAAAGTACTTACAATTTTTATTAATTTAATGTCTGTCTCCCCAACTGGCCTGTAAACTGCCCCCCCGCCCCCACAAAAAAAGACCAAACCCGGTGCTGCCAAGTCGATTCTGTATGACTCATAGTGACGCTACAGGACAGGCATCTTTCTCCTCAGAGCTGCTGATGGGTTCAAACTACCTACCTTTTGCATTAGCAGCCAAGTGCTTAACTACTGTACCACTAGGGCTCCTACTGTAAGCTCCTAGAAGACATAAATCCTGCCTCTTTTGTTCTTGATTTTTGTCTAATCACTAAAAACACTGCCTAGTATATAGGAGAAGCTCTGGTGGCACAGTGCCTAAGGCATTTGACTGCTAACCAGAAGGCTGGTGGTTCAAAGCCACCAGCCACTCCTCAGGAGGAAGGCTGGGCAATCTACTTCCATAGAGATACCACCTCAGAAACCCAAGGAGGTGTTGTTATGAGTCAGAAACGACTTGACAGCAGTTGAGTTTGGTTTTTTTGGGGGGAAAGGGGTATATAGTGTTGTTGTTGTTATGTGTCGTCAAGTCAGACCTGACTCATAGCGACCCCTCCTTGGGTTTCCGAGGCAGTATCACTACAGAAGTAGATTACCCCATCTTCCTTCTGAGGAGTGGCTGGTGGGTTTGAACCACCAGCCTTCTGCTTAGCAGTCAAGTGCCTTAGGGTATATAGTAGATGCATAGAAATATGTTAAATAAGTGAATGGCAGAATAAAAGAACGAATGAATGAATGGCATGTGAAATATCAGGGGAAGAAGGGTCTTAAAGATCTTAATTAACTCCTATTTCACCACTTAAAATATCTTAATTTGTAAACAGTATAGGATTGTATATTTTAAAAAGAGAGTTACTTCCGTTATATTGCCAGGGTAGTTTTAAAATGAACTTTCTTAAAACATAAGAAACGCACCAAACCAAGCCTGTTGCCTTCGAGTAGATTCCGATTCATGGCAGCCCCATGTCACAGAGTAGAACTGCTCCATAGAATTTTCTTGGCTGTAATCTTTATGGAAGCAGGTTGCCAGGTCTTTCTTTTGTGGCACCACTGAGTGGGTTTGAACTGTCAACCTTCAGGTCAGTAGTCTAGTGCAAACCATGTGCATCACTAATAATTCCCTCATATAGTAATCACTAAAATTATATTCCAAAATGATGCTGGGGGCTGAATAATCTAGAATGAGAGATGAACATATCATCATATGACACTAGAAAAATGTGAATACTTTTTGATTGTGTCCAGTACAATTTCAACACATTGCTCCTTTTGTCTACCTAAAATCTCCCTTTCTTCATGTTCTAATACCAATGAAAGTAGGGTGTGGCAAAATGGAAGGAAAACTACTTCCTTAAAAATTGGAATTCTGGATTTGAGATGAGTGCTCTATGCTCATGCTATATAATGTATAACTATTTTTGAGAATGTGGTGAAAGCACTTTAAAACTATCTTTAAAAAACAGATGTTTTCTATTTGAATTATATTTTTAAAAAATACCTCAGTCTAGTAGAGATGCAAGTTATGAATGAAAGTTGTTCTAAGAAGCCGTCTTGTCAAAGCAACTTATAATAGCTGAAGACAATTTCAGAAGATGAGAAAATGCCATTGCTTTAAAATAAAAGCATTACTTAACCTAGTGACTGGAGATTTCTTTCTTTCTAGCTCTCTCTCTTTTTTTAACATTGAAGAGGAAATTACCCCTTTCACTGGAAAAAGATAGTGATACCAATTTCATACTGTAACATGGGTGCATGCTCTCTTCCTGATTCTACCTTGTGAATAAGTGAAAATACAGAGGAAAGAGAAGCAGCATACCTTTCTAGTCAACTCAAAGGCCTGAAGGGCAAACAAATCCAAAAAAAACAACCCACTGCCATTGAGTCCATTCTGACTCATAGTGACCCCACTGGTTTCTGAGGCAGTAAATCTTTACAGAAGTAGATTGACCAGTCTTACTTCCACAGAGTGGCTGGTAGGTTTGACCCATCAACCTTCTGGCTAGCAGTCAGAGGCTTTAGGCACTGTGCTACCAGAGCTCCTTGAAGAGCAAACAAGGGAGCCCTTTAATTATTCTCATATGGCAAATTACACTCCCTTGGCCACAGCAAAGGGAAAACCATCCACTATAAGAAGCCAAAAGACTTTTTAATACCAAACAAGATAGAGAGTTCCAGAAGCTTTTGCTGGTTTCAAAAGGGCTCTATTGCCAATGTAAATTCAGGAATTGAATTGGAAAAAAAAGGAAGGAGTCTACGCAGGTCTGGAAATAAAATCAAGGTTAATTTAAGCCACAAATAATAACAAATAAGGATTAGGGGCCAAGTTATCAA